GAGCACTAATTCCAAGTATGGGTCACCATACTTGGCCACATGTCACGTCACTTTTTCACTTTCAATTTTGCATGATTCATCAATAAATGACTCCTATGAGACAGTTCTTTTCAGTAAATATAAAAAAAGAGTGACCAATGTACCATAATTCCCAAAAAGAACGACTCACAAGTTTGTTCTTTCAAATAATCAGTTTTACAAACATTGAGGGGGACACACCCCCTCCTGTAGATTGGTCACTCTCGAGCTTGATGTGAGGGTTAAAAAAAGTGTCCAGAGCTTCGGCTCAGCCAAAGGGAGAGGCATTTCCTGATCCAAACATGACAGCATAGATTCTAATGAAACAACCCATCCGCAAACAAAACCCGCCACCTATTTTCTGGAAAGCCCTGCAAGCAGCACATTTCTGAGAGGCATCAGTTCTGCTAGATCAATCAGCGACCCAAAACAAAAGAGAGAGAGAAACTGAGGTTGGAAACAACTTGGTCAATAAGCAACTGGAAAAACCTCGCATTTTTGCAGCATGGAAAATGAATACATAGAAAAGAAGCCATCACGTTGACCAAATCATCCAACACTGACTCTCAACAGGGGAGTTGCTGCGAAACGGCCACCACAACAGAGTTGTGGCGTGGGTGATGTATGGATAGGTTGAACTACTACACAAACTGTGAGTAGGCTGATAAATATGTTTTAAATAACAGTGGATATGAATTTTCGCAGTGGTTAGACTATACATCATACTGTTTTAAAGGTTCGTGCCTATATCCTTTCCTAGAGCGGTTTGGCTTTTGATAGGTCGGTTTAAGTTATGGCACTCACTGCGGCTGTGTTTGTGTTGTAATAGCAGAGCAGACGGGCGTCCGGAAATCCAGTCCAGTGAAAACGGCTGCACCTCATGAACACACTTCACACTCCCCACCCCCAAAACTGTCCCACGAGCAACACGCTGGAATGTGCCACTGAGAAAGCACTGTGACTGTCTGTCTCACACACGCTCAACTGAGTGAGATAAAAAAGCCACACATGCAAAATTAATCAAATATGCAAAACAAGTTGTAGCACCACATTAGGAACAATGCTTGGCCTTGCACAAACCATCACATCCACTATATCTAATATGCATCTTTTTTGTAACGCCTACATACATTTTTCATCTACAACATTGAACATGATTATTTATTAAAAAATAAAATAAAAAAACATTAAATATGTATTCATAATATTTACTTTTCAATAACTGTTAGGAAAGTTAGGAATGCATAAACTGTTTAAAAAAAGTTTTTAAAAATTATATTATGTTAAATATATTACATTTACACAGGATATATTTTTTATATAACATATACTCTTTTTCCTCTCATATACAATTATAAATCATATAAAAAAATAACATTTATGAAAAAATATATATATATTTCAAATATGTAAATCAAATAAGGTTAGATGTGTCTTATGAAGACATCTGAAAAACACTACATCCTATATTGACAGATGAAATGCTTTCACCAGGGGGCGATATGGGGGACAAAGTTGGTGGTACTTCATTCTAAATTATTTTAAAATGCAAAAGCGCCAAACATAAGAACAAATACTGAAGAGATTTAAGTACAGGTCTATTGTGTTGTTTTCAAAACATTTCTTTTTCTATTGTAAAAAACTGAAGTCAAACTAGAGTCTCCCACTTGCTTTAAAGTAGAATGAAAAACATTACAAGTAAACAAAACGTCTAAGAATATTAAGTTAAGTCTAGTAATAAGTATAAGCTGGTGATTCATCAGTGAAACATCACCGCCAACGCCCCTTTCCTCACAAACTCTCTTCTCTTCAGTTTATATTTTCAGGCAATAAATGCTCAAACACATTAAAAACGCCTGTTAGACAGCAATAATTCAACTGCCTACTTACTCCAGCCAGTCTTTTCTAGACATCAAAGATGCTGTGATCCTCTCGAAGAGTTTTATGACTCACTTAAAAACTGTCTGCATGCATGTAGAAAAGTTACTTATGATTCACACTCACCGCTGAAGAGAAGCCTAAAGGGTCAAATATTGTATAGTTTGGAGAGGGCAGCCAGATGTGGAGATGAAGTGATGCAAGCGTGAACGTGACTGCAGGGTAAACGTAGTAGTAGTGAAATGAGGAAAAAAGTGCATGCTCCTCCTCTCCAAAATCCTGAACAGCCCAGAACTCTGGTTGGGTGTGGTCTGGAACTCAATACGTGCTGTGCTGTGCTGAGGAAGGGAGGAAGGGGAAGCTTTCTGGAAGCATTAGGTGTTGACAGTATGCACAAAATTCATTGTCGAATGCTTCCTTTTGAATCTGGACAAGGTTTACTTTGACTTCAGAAGTCAACATCACATGTCATTTGTCCCAAAACGGCCCGCTCAGAATGTGTCACGCATCTACTTTTCCTCTTATTCTCAAGTGATTTCGAAGGAGAGTGTGACAGATTTGGTTGGTGGTTTGTGTGTGTCTATATGTGGTTCTCTGTGGTGTTGAAGAAGACCAAGAGTGCAGAGGAAAGTCTTAGCCTGTTCCTGGCGGGAACTGAGAATGAGGCCAGCGGCAGGAAGAGTGGAGCAAGAACATTTAAGGAAACGGCTTCGACCCCCAAATTCAGCCACTGAATGCTCAGCTACCTCTCCCTTGTTCTTCTAAACAGCTGCTTCTGTGAACGTCCAGATGGCTATCCAGATATAAAATATCTGCAATATTTGTAGTTAAGTACATATAAACATAGACAGGCACTGTGTAGCTATGTATATTTATAACTCCACTATGCATATTTATTATGTAACAGAGCTATATTGATATACACCATTGTTTTATGCCATCTGCAGCCATCTGCAAATATTTGTCTATTCATTTCCTGTGTGCTCCTCCCTTTTGCATTACATCCCCAGGATTCTGGCTCCCTGGGTTTCCTGAGTGTGTGCGTGTGTGTTTATGAGATCTAAGCTAGTTGACTTTATGGGTTGACTGGATTGATTGGCTTTCTCTCTATTGGACTGGATTGATTGTACTTTCCTTTCCGTAAACAACTGTTGATGTTACAGGACATGCGGTTACAGGACCAAATATGAAAACCTTCATTTTATAGGAAAATCAAATCACCCACACTATTAAGTCCTAAAAATGTACAGTGAGATTCTACATTGAAAGTAAGTGATTTAAAAGTTTCTGAAATTTTTAACATTTCAAAAAAATTAAAGTGATGATATAAAGTAGAGAAGAAATATTTAAGATTCTACACTTTTTGTCTAGGTAATTTACACAAATATGCAACACTAAAATTTACACAAATATGCAACACTAACCTTGCTAACACTTTCTAGATTTCTCTTTTTGCAATAAAAGTACTCATTCTAACGACTCAAGTTAACATTTATAGCAACCCCTGACATGCCTTTATCATCCATGGGGGGGGGTTCAGAAAATTCTTTGGATGCCTGTCCAAAGGACAGTATAGGATTTGTCATAGGAAAACAAATCCTGTCTCAGTCTCAATCAATGGTTCTACTTATTTACAACTTGAAGCATCAGGCATGTATTTTTTATGCTTAACCTGGTGCCAAAATTCTTACAATGGAATCGGTAACTAACAGTGTAAAACTCCATTCTAGAAAGAAGAGTGAGTTTCCAAGCATGCAAACTCCACTCTTGAGTCAATGCATTCCTCTTTTGTCGCTCAGCTGTCATTTTGTGTATTCTGCAGTGATTACAGAGCAGACAAACTTTGCTCATGCTATATTCACATCCACGGTGGCTTTTGATGTGCCATTGTTCAATTAAAGAGAGCAGAAATACAACTAATAACCTTTGGAAAGCATTGCCAAGAGAAATTCCTATGAGTCGTTTTTACTCACAGCCCACATTTATGCTGCACAATGCATACAAGAACAAACAATCCCTACTTGATCATATCACGCAGATGAAAACTGGTTATTTTTTGCCTGCCTTGCAAAAATTCAGCTGTGTGTGCTTTTGTTGACAAAAATATTCAATCACAGAGGGATGTAATACACAATTTAATGCAGTAAAATCTGTATTTATCATCAGACCTTTAAAAAAAACTTTTAAACAGCAAAATTTTTGGAGTAAAAGTTACAACTGCTAGGACATTGCTAGATGCCATAAATGTCATAATAAAATACTTAATAAATAAAATAATATTGCAGTGCATTAAAAGTGAAGTGTGTAATTGCTGCACAACTAGCATCACTAAATCCAAGTTAAACCCACTAAAACCGGCCCCAAAATCACAACACTGATTAAGCCGATGTTGCTGTTTTGGGCAGCTCAGCCTTTTTGCCAAATCACCCTATCAATGGCTCATCTAAAAGTTACACCCATCACATCTATGCTTCGTTTACATTTTAAAAAGTTTCTGGTTTGGATCAGACAAAGCAGGTTTATGTGCTCAGACTTTGTGCTGGATGCCTGGATGCTTCTGGCTCAGTCAGTGCAGTGATGTGAAAATTCTGGCGATCCAGACAGCTGTGAAACAGCAGGCCGACTGCCAAACAGCACAGAATAAGGTGGAGCCAAAAACTGGGGAGGCCCCACCGTGGCCTCTCTACACCCTCCGCACCAGTCTAACATTGTGCTTCAGATCTCTGCCTAATGAGACAGGAAAAATGGAACAAGTATTCCATGTCATGCATTGGGAATGCTGTGTGCAATTATGCAGTCTCTGAGTCCAGTATGTGGAATCATTTTTGTTTATAGTCTATCAACAATCCATTGTACTTCCAGGTCACAGGCTCCTCCCAGCTTATCACTATTCTCGAATATAATTTTTGATGAACCAATGGAACAAGAAACTGTCTCTGAGTTAAAGCTGAAGTGTGTCATTTGTCAAATTACAAAAACAATGACTGTTTTCAAACAGGTTTCCTGAACATATAGTCCTGCCCCCAGTGTGATCCCATTGGTTAAACCAGTGTTGCTATGTTGGGATGGTTGGAATGTTCAAACAGCAATGTTTTGATAGTGCCACAATGTGTTAAACTTTTTGGGGAAATCAGCCTATGAAATGAATTATCTATTATTTAAGTGGTCATTCACATTTTAAACAGCTCTAATGAAGACCATATCTATATGTTCTTAGGTGGGTGTTTTCTTCACTGTGAGTGTGAACAAACTTAACGGTCTGAATAATCAGGATTCTTGAGCAGCCGGGGTGAAAAAGTGCAGAGGAGGAATGTCAGAAGCTGCAGGCTGTTTTGGAAAGAATGCTGAGGGTGATGACCAGATCACAGGTGGAGAAGTACGGTAGAAAAACCCTGGGGGCTGAAGTGGGTTGGATTACCATATATCTGAACTTTTTAAAAGCAATGAGTCCGTTTGTTTCCATGATAAAGAGCTTGTTTCCTTATGTGTAGATAAGTTCACCCAATTAACCATATATGCAAAACTCCACAACCAACCAGGAACAACATACAAAAAAATAAATAAAAGTCTTATAGCTAAAAGCATTCAAGTTGTGCAGGCATGTGCTGCCACTCATTTAAAATGCCAAAAAGAATATACACAATTCCTATATAAATTCATGTTTTATTACACTTTTAAATTGTAATTCAGAATAGTATATTTGATAATAAAATTAATAGTTACAGTTCATTTTAAAATAGAAACTATATGCATGTTTCCATTTGTTTTCCAGTTCAAAAAAGTAATACAAATATCAGTTGTAAAACTAAAAGTTGTAAAATCAAGTTCTTAAAGCAATTAAAATGTTAAATAATTGTTATTATTGCTGAGAAGCTGAGTTGGTCTTAAACTCTAAGCATGGAGACACCGCCCATTTGCTCGGGGGAAAATGGGGGTGGGATATTTTGCAGCACATGTTTTCCATACAATTTGCATTTCATCTTTCGTTCATTTGTTTAAAATGTGTTACCCACAGGAGAGCATTTGAGCAGAGGAGTCAAGAGCTCTCCAACCTCATGACAGAGACTCCTCTTTCACACTGACATAAGCAGACTGGATTGCTTTCTCCCTGTTCTGATTAAGCTCAAGTGCCCTCATAGCCCTGCAGAAGTGGAAGGAAATTAAGGCAAAAGTGGCCTTTGTGATGAATATGAATGAAAGGTTTATAAAAGCTCTCTAATTGTGCCCAAGCTTCTCGACAGAGTCTAGTTCCTGTCTGTTGTTGGAGCGGTTTTCCTTGTGCCAGCCCAACTGATGATGTGGGCTTCTGGCCAATGACGCAAGACCACACCTTCTGAATCAACAGACCTCAATAACCTCAATAAATAATGAAATATACTGTAGGTCAATAAACTTACAGTGAATTGGAGTAAATTGGTCCCATCTTAGATGAATGGCCACCTGGCTTGAGCAACATTCAAAATATAAGAACTTGCTTCTCAATAGACGAGTCGGAATTCACAGGACGTTGAAGTGGAATTTCATATGGAATGACAGGAAGAGGAATTTAATGAATTGCAATTCAAACAAATTAAACAGTCACACAATGGGGGGATTTCAAAAGTCCAACACAGCAACAAATTAGCCAAGAACTTCTATTGTTCTGTAATCCTTCTGGCATAGCTGTTGTTTGCTGTAGCTGTTTAACACAAGAAACCCACAACGATATGCATTCAGACAAAATGTAATTAGGCTATATAACGAAGGTAAATCTTCATTGTTACACTGTAATGTGAACGTGAATTAACTGACAACATGAAATCTGTTCAGCAAAATCTACGTTGCTATAGTGTAGGTTCAAATGTGTTCTTTTTGCCAGAACAAAATTTTCACAACTTGAACTGTCTTTTTTGTTTGTTTTTTGTTTTTTGTGTGTGTGTGTGTGTGTGTGTGTGTTTGTTTTTTGTAGCCAAGGTTAATGTGAGAACCAACAGTCTCTCCTAAATTGTAATTAATATTTAAATTCTATTAAATTCAAACATCCTGTTTGCTTGCTACATTGATTTAAAATGTCATAACTGAACTGGACTTAAAAGGTAAACTGCACACACTCCTGATTGACTTGCAAAACTTGCGACAAGAAGCTACAGAACCTCTTTATCTTCTTGTTATCGCTGACGGTGGTCAGAATATTCCAGGGCTGATACACTGCAAGCAAACTTCTAACACACCTTCATTTATTCAGCATTCAGCTATATTGACTCTGTGAAGAATGTCTTTCACACTCTTCAAGTGTCACAA